ATGTCGGTATGTCGGTTTGTCGGTCTGTCCGTCCGGGTTACTTTGTGATTATGATAAAGGTAGTGATATGGAAAACTTATTCTTCTTATATAAAAAGCAGTCACTTTGTGGGTAGGCTAATGGAGTAAAGTGAGCACTGCGGAGTGAAGTGAGTAATATGAAGTGAGGAGGATGATTCAAATTGTGATCTCTACTGTACTGTAATGGCAGTACTTCGACACTGGTCTATGAATGATCCAAGTAAATTAGACTCGCTGATTGTCTTTTAGTGCGTCGATGTTTTGACAACTGTAAAAAGGTTGTTAAGGAAGGAGTGTATAATTGGAAGACACGAGACAGTGCGCAGTTACATTAATTGGCAGCCTTTACGCTCTGATAGAGGATATGGAATGGGGCGTGGTCGTAGACGCTCGGTGATGGAGACTGATAAAAACCGATAAGAGCTGATAAGGAGTTGTAGAAAGCAATAATTAGCAAATTAAGTCTTTCGCTCAACAGCGGAAATTTTATATTCTATAGTGTTATGTTTAGTTCCTCTAGGTGAGAGTTCGTGACCACAATTGGTAACATTTGATCAGGACTGGTAATAGATGCTAAGTTGCGGAATTCTCTGGATTACTTTCCCACTATCACTAGTCTTCAGCACGGAAACGAAAATTAAGTCCGGCACTCGGCTCTTACAGCAATCCCCTGGCTGGATTTTCATTTCCGTGACCTCAATTCCTATTACAGAGCGCCTACGGTCCCTTTACACCCGATATCACCCACCAAGGCGTCATGGTTCCGATGTTGACAGCGAGAACGTAACCAAATCGGCAACTTTTCCTTTCTATGGCTGCATACACGAAGTATGTAATGGGTTCAGTGGCTCATGCCTCAAAAGGCTCCTTATCAGCCCCTCTTGACTGATGCCACTTTCTACCTGTTACCAGTCATTCTCGGTTGATGTCATCAATTACTATCAGTATTCACGTCGTGCACTTTGTACCCCTTTTGAATTTGAACGGCTCAGGACGAGAGGGACAGGAGTTGTGAATTTCTGGTATGGTACGTTCGCCGCCCCATACACTGCCGTACACACACACTGAGACACACAAAACACACTCACACACAAACACACGTACAAACTGACAAACACACCAACACGCACACATATACACACATATACACACATACACACATACACACACACACAAATGCAAACGCACAAAAACTACTTGACGGCTAAGAAACACGCAGTATGCTTACTTTTCACGAGCAGTCCAATCTTGTGAGAAGCCATGCCTAAATATGAGAGTTACTGAACAAGGCTTATTTAGTTCGTTACTCAATCACAGCAACAAACTACAGCTAATTTCAGTCCTCTACGAAGCCGTTCGCTCTCTTCATAATCCAGGCCATTTCGAGGTCTTTGAGGAGCCATATCCGTACTTGTATGAACTTCTACTCGTGCTTATCCTTTTATTGACTGTGATTTTCAACATTGGTCTATTCCTCTATGGGATGTGTGGGGTAATTTTTCAAATGCTTTTGAAATATTCAAAACAGAGCCTTGTACGCTTTTAATCATAAAGGCCAGAACTATTTTTCGAGAATGGTCATCAGAGCGCTGAGTGTTTTCTGTATTGGAGAGCTAATGAGCGTATCGAAGTTTTACAAATAAGTAAGGTCGGTACACCATTAGTAGCCACCTACTACATAACCTTGAATGATGTGCTGGTTACCCAATTAAGCAAGCTGATATGACGAGAAGATAGCCTTCATAATTTTCTAGTGGAAGGTATCGTAAACAAAAGTACATTCACCATTCAGCAGCATCCTTGCGTTCGTTCTTCCTACGAAAGGGAAGTAATGAAGGTTGGCTTCAATCTGAGGGACGAGTAAATGATTAAGTACCAAAAGTCCTAGATTATGGTTTCGGAGCCATTGGGCATGAAGGGCTATATGCTGTCTCAATGCTTACTTTAACACATTCCTTCCAAGCTTCAGCATTTGACCCAGATCTTCTGGCACTATGTAAGCCATACCATCATTGCCGAAATCTATCACTACTAATTAGACCAANGTACATTCACCATTCAGCAGCATCCTTGCGTTCGTTCTTCCTACGAAAGGGAAGTAATGAAGGTTGGCTTCAATCTGAGGGACGAGTAAATGATTTAGTACCAAAAGTCCTAAATTATAGTTTAGGAGCCATTGGGCATGAAGGGCTATATGCAAGTCTCAATGCTTACTTTAACACATTCCTTCCAAGCTTCAGCATTTGACCCAGATCTTCTGGCACTATGTAAGCCATACCATCATTGCCGAAATCTATCACTACTAATTAGACCAAAGGGCTAGGGTTCATTGGGGAATCTGGCATTTGGATGACGTTCTTCTTTATATTGTGAGCTTGGATTTGAGACTCTTTTGGCCTCAATTATGGTATTCCTAAAAACATTGTTCTTTCATTGCATTGAATAGTTCGAATGGCACATAATCATAGAGTGAAGCTTTTATGCAACCTTATGCAAGCACACAAACTGTATTATCAAATGATTCAGTTATGCGATAGACAGACAGTAGGGATCGATATTTTTCCCAAATGTAGATAGGGACTCAGTAGAGGTGTTTTCGAACATTGAAACAAAAAGTGCCAATCAATGGTGCAAAAACCTACAGTAGAAGAATGTCATGGAATTTATTATAGTTTTCTCGAAGGAAGAAGGAGTATGTCCTTTTTCTGTTTGCCTATCATTTCGTCATTGTGATCCCTTTTTACTTATCAGATAAGTTGAATACTTTTACTTTGAGATGCACATAGGATTTTTTCCAGATAGCAAGTAAAACTATTTTGCGAAGTAAAGCATTTTGGTGATCATGAGAAACTTTACTGGGAGCGAAATTGATCCCCCAGGGCAACGTATCGGTTGAGTCTAAAACGGAACTAGTCTGTATGCTTGCTTCAGCCATTCCGAGAGCTGAAAGGCTCGGCACTGTTACTGTTCCGACCTGCTTCACAAGTTTCACAGTAGTTCGGGATTATTGAAAAGTTTAGCTTTTCCATGAATGCGCAGAAGTTTATGACACATGCGGAGCACGTTTCAGGATTCTATCTTTACTTAACTGCCATTCAGCCTGGTACATCACAACTCAGTTCATATGCAACGCTGATGTTTACCGAGGCATTAAATGAAGTTCGCTTCAACACCATTACGGTGAGTTTACGCAAATATCCATACAATGCCATGGTCATGGTTAGAGATTAGTAGGTTCAAAGTCATCCAACTAGCTGTATGTAGCCCTACTTGCCGGAGAATTCAGCCGAATTCTCTTCAGGGAGAGTTCTCTGATGAATATAATCTTGTCACTGATCCGACATTGGTTAACTTGAGCCTCAGCTGCTTATTTTCGGCCATCTTTGGATATCATCAAGTTTTAAATGTTCAGGAGCGAACACGCACTGCAATCAACGAGCTGCAGGATCGTTTCTGTTGCTGCGGTCTGAATGGACCTGCTGATTACGGTTGGGAGTTCGAAAAGGAGGTATGATGAATAAGAGCCTGACAGACGAGGGCGATAGTGCAGTAAAAACTTAAGAAAGCATTAAAATTGCTCGCTAGAGGCACATTTACGATAAGAATTGCTTTTGAGAAATCGCCTCAAGATGAAACCATGGCGTCTCCACATATCATATGTGGCGCTGTGAGATCAGTGAACGGTCAGATAGGGCGTAATAAGGGCCCAGAGATTGTATTGGCTGCATGCCACACCCATACTGAACGATTTCAATGGCATTATAGAGGCTGCGCTCTCCCAAGGGACTCCCATTTTGAGAATTCAAACAACCGCTCGTGCTATGGCGATAGTGGAAGGCAATATTGATATCCTCGACTCAGTCAATTCAGCCCTTTTCGCGATCGCAGCAAGTGAAATATCGTCCAAATACCCTTTCCCACACCATTTCCGTCATGGTGATATCGTGTAACTCCTCTCTCCACTTTTTCTAGGAAACCCCATTTTCTTCGGAGTCGGCGGATATTCTTACTCTCTTCGCTACCTATGCCCTAACTATGTACACCGACACTTCCGCTTTTCATTTTAAAAAGAGATCGCAAATTATTGTGAACTGAGCCTTCAATTACTAAGACGCTAGAGGTGAGCGAGACACTCTACGCATTCGATTCAACTGAGTCTGTATGGGCAGGTAGGTAGACGTGCACACCTTCAATATACCGCATAAGAAAAATGTTAGGTGCGAGATAATGTCCCTCCTAAATTATAGTTCCAGCTTCGAGGGTTCTAGAATAATGAAGCTATGTACACCTACATTCATTGTTCCAACTACAGAGACTCTGCAGCTCTATCTTTATGTTCTCGTCTTCATGCCAAGCTGTGAAGCATAACGGGTCAAGCGTGATATAGCTGTAATCTATGCACTTACTACATATAGTTAGTCCGTAGAAAGCTGCTTCCAAATTCGTCAGACGTCAACGCAATGTAACATGGTTACTTTCGTTCAAAGAAAACTGATTCAGGGAGTATGGAATAGATCGATGAGAGATACGAACATATCACTCTCATGCCCATTCGACAAAGGTTGTCAACATCACGAGTTTCCAGGATGTCTAACAAGAATCCCACAGAGAAAACGCCTTTTCATAATTGTCAGCAGTCATTTTTATTCGAAACGACAAGGGAAACGCATTGCATTATGTCAATTCAAGGTAACTTCTTCCATCGGGATTGCATGTGCTGTGGGGTCTCTTCTGATCACGCCTTTCATCTATGCTTCATTCGAGGTACGTTGGTTTGAATTTCTTTCGAGGTGGTTTCCCCACCGAGAGGATCATGACGTGGTGTTCAAGGAAGGAGACATTGAAATGCTGTTGTTAAGCAGTGGGACACCCGTTTTCTTTTTAGATACAGCATCCAAAAGTTCCATTTCATTCACCATCCATAAGTTCTACATATCCATTCCAGGTATTGGGTTGTAACATAAGTTCGTAGAGTTTTTTCACAAAGATTTATTTGAACCAAAAAACAAAAATTATAATGATAAATTAACCAATGATGTATCCTCCGTTACTGTTCACGACCTCCTCCCATCTCTCGACCAGTTTGTTGATGCCGATTCGCCAAAAATCGGCCGTTGTGGTGTCGAAGATTTGTTGAGCCTGTTTTTAAGATCCTCTTCACCATCGAAGGTAACACCCCTCATTTGGTCTAACATAGAGCGGAAAAGGTGATAGTCGGCAGGTGCAAGATCCGGAGAGTGCGGTGGATGCTTAAGAACATTCCATTCAAGCTCTTGGAGTGCTGTTTTGACGACTTGAGCAATATGGGCGTGGTGTTGTCGTGGAGCAAGATGACTTGACCTCGTCTATAAGGTCTTTTCAGCAGAATACCCTCATTTACACTGTTCAGCTGAGCAATATAGACCTCCTTCTTGACAAAGGCGTTTCGTTCGAGCAGTTTCCCAGTGCACCATGCCTACCCAGTCCCACCAAACGCAGATCATGACCTTTTTTTGGGTGAAGATCTTGCTTGACTCTCGGCTTCGACGCCTTTCCTGGGGCCACCCACACCTTTCAGTAGACCACCTAAGACAACTTTCCCGTACACAGCGGTAGCAGCATATGTCCGGAGCGGTTTCGGCTGCTTTTTGNCAAGCACACAAACTGTATTATCAAATGATTCAATTATGCCATAGACAGACGGTAGGGATCGATATTTTTCCCAAATGTAGATAGGGACT